AACTCTATTTTTTTTACTTTTTTATTTATATAAGCTAAAGTAAGATAATAGTATCTCTAAAAACTCTAAAAAGAGCTTATTAAATATATAATTTAGCTATAGACTCTAAAAGGGAATACTTATTATTTATAATTAATTATAATATCTCTCTAAGCTTATTATTATTAATTACTAGTAACTAGACCTTTTCTTATAATAATAATAGATATCTCTAATATTATTATTCCCTATAGCTAGAGCCTGATTATTATAAGTAATTAGATCCTTATATATATAATAGTTATTATTAATAATAACTATTAAAATCTCTTTTTAAATATTAATTATTTAAATTTATAATCTATTATAAGTTTACTTATAGTAATAAAGCTATTCTTTTTTATATAGGCCTAGTAGTTATATCTACTAGAGCTATTACTATATCTAGTAACTAGCTAATAAGAAGATATATAGATTCTAATCTTCTATATACTTATAGAGAACTATATAAATATTCCTTTAATACTTAATAATTATTATAATCTAATATACTATATATAGTACTAGTAGATAATATACTAGCTTAAGTTAATCTAAATTAAAATAGCTCTTTAAGTTAAATAAAAAGTCTATTTTAATTAGTATTAAATAAGTAGAAGAGAATAAAATTAAATTAAATTATTAAAAAGTTTATTAGAATAAAAAGTTAAATTAAATAAAATTAATAAGATAGTATTTAGAATATAGTAGATTAATTAATCTAATACTATTATAGATTATTTAAAGAAGATTATAATAGCTAATTATAAAGTTATTATATACTAATAAAGACTAAATATAGTTTATATAGTATATATTATCTTATATATAAGTAAAGGTATTATAAACCGAGGTTTTAACTATAAGCTATCCTACTATAGCTACTCTATAGTTAATAACCAAGAACCTATCTATAATACCCTAGCTAGTTGCAGCTAGTTCTGAGTATAATATAAGTAATAGATTCTATTCTATATAAAATATTTAAGAAGGATAAACTAAATAATAATCTCTAAATACTTAATAATTATAATAATCTAAGATATAGTCTCTAGTTCTAGTATATTATATATTATATAGAATTAATCCAGATAGAGATTACTCTTAAAGTTTAATATTAATATTCTAATATTAGTAGAATAGTATTTAGATAGATAGAAGAGAATTAAATAGAATTAAATTATTAAAAAGTTTATTAGATAGAAAAGTTAAATTAAATAAGATTAATATAATAGTATTTAGAATATAGTAGATTAGTTAATTACTATTATAGAATTTTAAAGAAAATTATAATAGCTAATTATAAAATTATTATATACTAATAAAGACTAAATATAGTTTATATAGTACTATATTAGTTATATTATATAAATAGTATATAGATAATATCTAGTTATATAGCTAGATATCTATAGAAAAAATTATTATTTTTTATCTCTTATAAATATTCAAAATAAAGAGATATAATATTAAAAGACTTAAGATAATATATTAAAAATAATTTACTTTATTATTCTATTCAGAGAGAAATCTTATTAGAAAAGATAATTATTATCTAAAAGGAAAGCTATTATTGGAGCTATTTTTAAAATAAGTATTATATCTTGCTTTATTAATATACCTTAGTCCTAAGACCGGGCCTTAAAGTCCCTACACAAGGCAGTAAGAATCTGCTTATTTTCCCTTGATCTTCTTTGCCTTAACCCTAATAAACACGATCAACAGCTGCAGCCTAGAGCAGGTAAGTTTGATTTTATTTGCCCTGACTCTTGGGTATACGATCAACAGTTGCAGCCTCGGGCAGGTAAGTCAGATCCTATCCACACTGACTCTTCAGAATAGGATCAACAGCTACAAACTTAAGCAGGTAAGTCAAACCCCTCCTTGATCGCATCCACGCTGACTCTCATGAATACAATCAACAGCTGCAGCCTCGAGCGGCCTCTAGAAGGTAAGTCTGATCCTATCCATGCTAACTCTCATCAATAGGATCAAGTACCGAGCTAGAAGTACCTAGTTCCAAGCCAGAAGTACCTATTTCTGAAAATCAATATTATATAGCGCTGACAGCGGGTGTAGTCCGTATATGAGAGTATATATACATTGAACATGATGTGGGTGTAGCCACGCGCTGTTTAAAATTTCCACACGCTGTCCACTAACCACCTCCTACCCACGTGAGGTAAGATACTATGTTTACTTCAATGGTGATAGGGTTTACCGTTCTACAATGGGCGATGATCCTTTGAAGCAATGGAAATCGTGGACAAGATTTAGATTAGGCGCTTAGGCTCTCTTTCTTTACCTGTACGTCAGTTAGACCCTTTCGAACAGAACGACATTGAAACTACTTTGAAGTGCTACTATTACATCAGGTTAAAATTGCCTCGACAGGCTTTAAAATGAAATAGAATCTAAGTCTAAGTAGAGACAGCTAAAGAAATCTATAGCCTAGATTGACAGCATGAACCCCCTGTGTTCTCAATCGCTTCAGTATATAGTACGCTCTTATTCCTATCCTGCGTTGACACGGCGACATCCAGCCCGGGGTTCCCAGAGAAGAAATTAACTGGTTTAAGGCCGACCATAAACTTCTCATTAGGCATGACGGGCCAGTCTTCAATCCGAGGGTTATGAGTGGAACCAAATGTGTGCCAGACAACAATGTCCTGGTTCCGGACTGACTGCGCAATGCCTGTTGCCCTTCGTTTTTCAATAGCGGATGCGATACCGTCGCCGCCGGAAGACTGCATAGTATATTTACCTGAAGGGAAATGATCGTTGTCTTCGTAGCGAGTCACCCACACGGCATGCTGCCCAAACTCGGAGCGTTTTGCGTGGAAGGAGTTAGGGTGTGACAGCAGCATTTGGCTGTATTGAGGGAGGAGCTTGAACCCTACAGGCGTGTTTGTAATAGGGTTGATGTTATTCTCGTTAATGAACTTGTAGTTACGGTTCTTAGAGAAATCAAGGTCAAAGCCTCCTTCTTCCTCAACGATGTGACTTTCAGTTATATATCCAATGCCAAATGGGTTATGAACAGAAGGGTCTCCGACAGGTAGAGGCTTTGACTCTTCGATAACCAGTGAGTTAGAATGACCGTCGATGGCGGGATCAATTCGAAGACTGAAGAGGTGCTGGTGGTACGGCGCTAGTACACCTGGCGCAACAATAGTTCCATAAGGGACATTCTTGACATCCAAGCTTGAGGGGACCGTTGATAATATACCTGTAGCCCGTACTTCGTAGAAGATGGAGGCATCCTGACAGAAGTGGAAAGCAAAGATATACTCATAGTTACTCACGGTAATGATAGTCTGTAGCACAAGGATCCGAGAGCGTGTGACGATGGGTACTTGTGTACGGAAATTGGCGTGCTTCCAGAGGATACCGTCGTCTTGCTCGTGGCAGCATACCACATTTGGCATCTTGAGTGGCTCACCCCCTGATGTGTTATGGTAGGCGTCGAAATACTTGATAGTTCCTATAGGAAAGCAAGGGTTAGTATATTCGCAACATAAAGTAATAAGAAGTGATGGGAGCAGTCAGGATATCAGTACCGAGGCAGTCGCATCCCAACTGAAGGTTGTTTGCATTAATGCCAGCACCATCATTTCCAAGATCAAACGCAGCTTTTCGAGGGTACGGCGCACGAGGGTCACCGTAAGGGACAAACATCTCTGCAAGAGACAGTCTATAAAATAAGTCTCGGCCGCCGTACCTGATATCATGTAATGACATTCCCTCGCGGTAGTTGAAGCCTACTCTGAAGCTCCACTTCTCCCACTCTACATAGTTCCCGTGGATTCGGAAGGAGGGCCCCTCTGGCTGGATCACCTGGTATGGCTTGGTGGTTGTTCGTGGACTTGGTCGCAGGTCTGGGTGGTACTCGCTTGCTGCTGTTGAGTGGATCCTACGGCGGTCAAAGGGCTTCTGAATATTATTGATTCTCTCATGTGGCGTAGTAGGCAGACGGTAGACTTTATTAACTTCGAGGGCCTCGGATACCTCTGCGCATATCTCGAGGGGGTACGCATAGTAGTTTGCATCCGGGCTCTCTAGCAGACGGAGGTAGAACCAGCACTGGATGAATCAGATCGACGTTGCTTCCGCTACAGAGATGGACACTTACCATGGTAACACGTGTGGTCATGTCATTCATACCATCGGTTGCGTACGCCCAGGGCTCAACAACAACGGTTGACCCGGATGGAAGGTCTAGGGAGCGTATTTCCTCTTGAACCCTTTGGTTGGCTAGACATGCCTTCTCGACAGCCTGCATGTATTCGGCATCGATGTAGGAATGCTTCCCTTCGAGGTGCTTCTTCTCGAATACCTTATTGTCGTCGAGGTCGACAAACAGCTCAAAGAGATTGTTGTTCTGTTTGGGCCCGGTGATAACGACCTCGACGCGGGCGCAGCGAGTAGGCACCTGGCCAATTGGCTGCTTGCGGTGCTCCTTGTCGAGATATGCAATCATCTGCTGCTTGGGAGGTTCCTGCAGAGTAATGACCCTAAAATTTGGGGTTTGGCCCCCGAAATGCGGATGGACTATTCTGGCCGCCTTCGTTTATGTTTGCATGTCAGTTTTCAACGGCCCTTAGTGCTCTGCGGGGAAAAGATCTGTCACATAGACGCACCCTGGAGATTTCCTCGGGGGTAAGAGGGTCGAAGGGGTGGTGACGTGGAGCAGCCATGTTTGGAGAATGCTTGAGACGGAATGATGCCTGTTAGCATGGAATGAAGTTGTCAGAAGTGCTTCTGGATGAAGATGAAGAATATGTTATCATGCGAAGGTTTATATACTGCAAGATGAACTTAATCTGAGGTGCTGATCAGACAGGTGCTGGCCGGAGATCGGAGCCACATTCACACCTGGATGTAAGACGCTCCGGACCGGGCAAACTGCCGGTGCAGCGCCTTTCCGGTGCCCTGATGTCTCCCCAGCGGGGTCTTTTTTAGTGGTATGGGGGCAGACGTCACCTGCGCTGGCCTCTAAAGGCAAGGCGCAGCCACTGAAAATTTGTTGAATAGGCCTTTCCTTTGGAGGATAAAGAAATGCAGGTCTGCGGCAGCTTCTCTTCCCTCCAAAGGAAAGGCTTCGGCGCAGCACAAGGCCTGGAGCTCGCGAGTCTCATGCAGAGTCGCCAATCTCACCTCTAAAGGCATCCCGAGGCCTGTACACAAATGGACTCTCCACCTTGGGCGTATCGGGCGGGGTTCTCCAGATATCGTCAACGTCCAGACTAATGTCCCTTGAACCGGTGAGACTAGATTTCGAATGAGGTGTATGGATACCTATATCAACCAACATAGTCTTGTGTTGATGCATTTAGCGCTCCCCTTCTCGCCAAGGACACGTTTACATTCGACTTCTCCATCAAGGCAAACCACAGCTCACCACCACCAAGCATACCTTATACATCTGCGAACTTCCCTACAACTTCATCATGCCTCAGAAGTTGCCATTCAATGTGAGTAATAGCTGCTCCCTCCGCAGTTAGTCTGCCGCGAGCGCGACCTGACATCAAGCCACAGCTGGACGACGAGTCCCTCCTGCACGACACCTCTTTATTGAATGGAAAATGGGTCAAGTCCCAATCTGGGGAGTCCTTTGATGTTGAAGGCAATTGGACCGACCATCGAACCCGTATCCCTCGTGTAATCGACTAACAACGTTCACCAACAGATCCTGGCAGCCAGCAGATCTTTGCATCGTGCCCAACCAACAAGGTCGACGATGTAGACCAATATGTCACGACATCGCACGCAGCGTTCCTCGAGTACCGTCATATGAACCCTCGTCAGCGAGCCAAGCTCCTCCTGGCATGGTATGAGCTCATCAGCAAAGCCCGGACCGATATTGCCAAACTGGTCGTTTACGAAAACGGCAAGCCACTTGCCGAGGCTCTCGGCGAGATTGATTACGCCATGGGCTTTGCCTGGTGGTTCGCCGGCGAAGCAGAACGGGTCCGGGGATCAGTTGCTGTACCATCTATATAGGAGCGCCGTACGTTTGTGATCAAGCAGCCAATTGGCGTGAGTGTTGCGCTTGTCCCCTGGAATTTCCCTGTGGCTATGATCATCCGTAAAGTCGCCGCTGCATTAGCAGCTGGGTGTTCAATGATTGTAAAGCCGTCTCCAGAGACCCCCCCGAGTGTCTTAGCTTTAGCTGATCTTGCTCTGCGAGCCGGCTTCCCACCTGGGGTCTTTAATATTATTACAACTGATAACTTAAATACGCCAATAGTCAGTGAGGCTCTTTGTAAACACCCTCTCGTCAGAAAGGTGACCTTTACAGGGAGTACAGCAGTTGGGAGGATTATTGCCCGCCACTGCTCTGAAGGATTAAAGAAAGTCACAATGGAGCTTGGGGGCAACTGCCCATTTATCATCTTTGATGATGGCGACCTTGATCAGGCTGTAGCCGCACTTATGATACTTAAATGGCGTACTGCCGGGCAGGCCTGTACTCACGCGAACAGGGTCTATGTTCAAAGCGGAGTATTTGAGGAATTTGCACGAAAAATAGTCCAGGCTACACAGGTGCTGCGTATTGGACATGGTTCTGATCCATATACTACAATAGGGCCACTTACTACAGCCCGTGGTATCGAGAAGCTGGAGAAGCATATTTCTGATGCTGTCTCCAAGGGAGGCAAGGTGCTTTGTGGAGGAAAGCGCCCCGAGGGCGACGGCTACTTTTACGAGCCTACCATCATCTCTAACATGGCCTCGTCTATGCTGACAACCCAAGAAGAGATCTTTGGGCCCCTCCTTGGTCTTTATAGGTTTGAAACTGAGGAGGAAGTGGTCAAAGCAGCCTATGGGCCTAGCATCATACTTCTTTACTAAGGATGTAGACCGTACTTGGAGGCTTCTTGAGAGTCTTGAGGCTGGCATGATTGGCATGAATACAGGTTCGAGTACCCCTTCCCTATACTCTTCGCGGGACATCTCCAACCAATTATTCTTCAGGTAACTCGTCTGGTGCAGAATCCCCGTTTGGTGGGATCAAGGAATCGGGCTATGGAAAGGAAGCCGGTAAAGATGTGGCGATTGAGGAATACTTGATTCAGAAAACTGGCACGCTCACTATTGGATCTCTGCCGAAACTGTGATCTGGGCAGTCCCTAGTTAAGACTGGTCCTCACGGACTCATTTCCTAGCAGCTGCGTTCAAATCAATGATTGCCACCCTAGTTGCTACAAGATTGCGATGCGAGCTTCTGTTCTAAATCTAACACCTTGTCTTACACTGTTCGGCCAAAACTTCTCTGAAGAATCAAGAGACTTGCAGAGCTCTCCGGTGGAGAGTGAGTACTATCCAATACCTGCCGTAACCAGGATAAAATCAGCGCAAAGGCTGACACTGCCGAGCCGGGAATCCTTCGCCATAGAATATTTATTACTGCCTGTATATTTTGTTCTCATATGGCTCTAAATCAGTTGAGATTGTCATTCCATCCGAAATGTAAAGCATCAGGTAGCCATACTCATGAATCAAGTTAGCCAGCTTAGTTTCTTCAAGGGGTTTGCAACCAACTAAGGGGGCACTTGTGACGTATAGTAAGAAGAATGTCTTATCCAAGTGCTGCTCCGCTGCTGCCAAGAGATCGGCGTTGTGGGCCTAGATGTCAAGCACGCCTTGTTAATCTTTATATGTCACCGGCATGTGGTGTCGAGCCGTTTCCGTATGTCGACGAGGGCTGGATGGAGTCCATGCAAACCAGGATTCGCAATGAACTCGAATCAAATCCCTCATGACAACAATCTCACCGGCCCAACGGAAATCAATTCATCTCGTGACTGACCACTTGCAGGCTGCGCGAAACTTTGGCCAACACCTTGCCTTTAATAATACCCTGATCTTCTCGTCCATATCCATATCCATATCTTGCCATAGAGGTACATCTGAGAGTGGATCTCTCCACCCAAAGTACCACTCTTGGCATGCATAACTTTGTACCTCTATAGATCCTGCCAGTCCGCTGTATCGAGACCGCTGAACCCGCTGTATCGAGACTGCTGCTTCGAGGCTGCTGCAGCTGCTGTTGGTTGCAGCAGACTGGCGATAGCTTCACTAACCACCCTGTTGCCGTGGATACAGTCAAAATAAAGAGATATGGATTGGAAGGGATATGGATGTGGCAGCTTTTCCAAAAACCACATCCATATCCCGTTGGAAGCCAGTTGAAGGGGTCAAACAGCTCAATTTCCTTGGCAACCTTCCTGTATTGCGTAAGGCGGCTTGGCGGTACATTGGACAGATTTGCATAAATCCAGAAGCAGGGGTACAAGAGATAATATATTATTTTTGGTACCGGAAGAGGTATAGCTGCTGAAAACGCCCCTCTTTTAGGTCTTTGTTGACTTGTTGTGTCGTGGATGTGGACGAAAAGATCAGGGTATTATTAGAGGCAGTTCGCCTTACCTTTAGAGGCAACGTCGGCGCATACATCTGTCTCCTAACCGCCATACCTTTGGAGGCAAGATATCCGAAGCACACGTCCCAGCCCATGCAAGGCCCTCCTGTATTACGTGTTGGCAATCCTCGGGTTACCTTTGGAGGTCAGGACTGCGATAAAACAGAGGCAGCCATGTCAAGGAGGATGGGGATTGTGGACCGCACCATCCAGTGTAGAGGATCTCGATTGCCCGTCTAGAACCAGGCGAAGATAGCGGCATCGCTGCTTAAGACTTATGGAAACTACGGAAGCCGACTCCGGACCGGCACTGACCACCAGCCGGCCACCTCTACTTCAGAATCTGGAAGGGGGCCAGAAGTCTGGGATATAGACTCCCAAATCCTTGTCGTAAAACATCGACATCGTACGATTGAGCAATACCATCACCCTTGACATGGCGTGGGAAAGCATCTCGAAAGCCGCTTAGACTGAGCTTCTACAGTCTTTGCCCCAGAAATGGAAAATCGACAAGGACTCGTACGAGTCTCTGACGAATGTAACCAAGGTCCCGCTGACCTGTGACATTCTGAGTGAGAAGCAGATCGAGATTACCGAGCTCTCTGCATCCGAGCTTTCACGGCGCATTCGCAGCCGTGCCCTGACGTCTGTCGAGGTTCTTAAAGCGTTTGCTGCCCGGGCAGCCATTGCCCACCAACTGGTCCGTCTTGTCGATATAAAACACCCTTGGCCCACTCCCACTCATGACTGACATTTTCTCAAGGTCAACTGCTTGACCGATTGGTTTTTGGAAGATAGACTCGCCCGAGCCAGTAGGCTTGATGAAATTTTTATATTAATTTAATAAAATTTTTATATTATTTTAAATTAAATTATTATATTAATTAAAAATAAAATTCTTAGATTAGATTAATAGAGAATTTTAGCTTAGATTAATAAAAAATTTCTAGTTAGATTAATAGAGAGTTATAGATCAGGGGTAGTATAGATCTCAGATCACAGGTTTAACCGGGAGGGGGGGGTCTCAGTTGGTCTGACACTTGATTGTTCATCGAGTCTCCGGCCAGTACACTTCAGGTCTGATGCTCAGTGGCACCGTTCTAGTGTATATAAACCTGGGTCTGATTGTCGGGGTGGCAAGCGAAGACATCAGGAGGGGGCTGAAGGCGTGCCCAGCCAGGGGAAACGGAAGGCACAGTATATCTGGACCTCGCGCTTATACCCAGTTTTAAGAGTGGGTAGCGGCTGAGCTAACGTTTAGAATTGCGAAGTAGTGGTATGCTTTCTTTAGTGCTCTCGGATATACGCTCAATAAGGAAAGAGGCTTTATTACCTAATAAAACAAAGTATATTAGTAAATCTGAGTTTCACAAAACACCTGAAAAAGGAAAGTTTATCAATAATAAGTAGTTATACCACGAAACAAGTGTTTTAATATATGAGGCGGAAAAGGTGTTCAATCTATGATATCTTCGGATATGAGGTTAATGCCTGAGGCCGCGATGTATCGGAAAAGCTGTGATGCTGAAAACGCGATATACAGAATTGATCTTAGGGTCCGATATCTTTAATCGCCACCCCACCGCATGATATCTCCGTGCTCCAAGTACTAAATTGTTCCTTGCCGTTCTTTCCCTGATGTGTCTGTCGGCTGCTCCAGTCTGAGCGGAGAATGCCCGAATGCTGCGACCTGCTTGCGTGGACCCTCGGATTGATATCATTCTAGCTACCCCACCCCTCATAGCTCAACTCCTGAAGTGCGTGAAAGCTTGGCTCATCGTGACCTAAACCTTAATTTCTGTCTTAATAAGCAGCGGTTGGCTTGAACTAGTACCTCTAGCTCTACCGAGCTGGTCAGAAATAGCATGTACTTATACATATATCTTAGTTGACTATGGATATCCGTGAAGATCTAAGTCACGATTATCCGAACGGGACTAACGATGGTATTTCGGGTGGAGCTCGTCCCATGATATCCCTATGAGATATCCCAGTATGCCTCAAATAGTCATGGTTTTATCGCCGAGGTCTTGTATAAAAGGTGGAAGGTGACTCGCTTTCGTTTGCTTGAAATCCAGAATCTTTCCATTAGGAGTTGTGCCTGATTAAATTTCCAAACCTCGAAAATTTTCATTTTGAAGTCGGTCCTGTCCCAACAAACACTCTTCTGCAAATCTCTTATCTCTCGAATCATGGCCTTCAACCGTATCGCTGTCTGGGGTCACCGCGGATTCGTCGGCTCTGCAGTTGTTACTGCTCTAATTGCCTCGGGGGCCCCGGTTACCATTCTGCATCGCCCGGGCTCGGACACTTCCCATCTTCCCGATCATGTGAAAAAGATTGAAATTGACGATCTTGATGAGGACGCTTTGGTTGCTGCCTTGCAAGACATAGACATTGTCATGTTAGTCGCAGCTACAGCCTAAATGTACCTTTTTCGAATCTATGCTAATAGGTTCCCAGTTCTCTTGTTGGAGACGCGGGCACCGCCAGCCAGTATGGCTTTGTTAAGGCCATCCCTAGGACCAAAGTCCAGCTTTTCTCCCCTTCCGACTGCTGTCTGCGATATGGTGAGCAGGGAATGCGCATTCCCTGTATGAAGGCAAAAGCCGATCTTGAAAAGGCTGCAAATGACGCTGGCATCCCAGTTACTGTCGTTCACCAAGGAAATTTCGCTGAATACACCTTCAACACACTGTCAGTCATTGGAAAATCGCCGGTGAAATTTATCTGAAACTGACTATAGTAAACCACAGGGCAGTAGGTGTTGACTTGCCAAATAACAGATTGGTCTTTACTGGCAACTCCGCTAATGAAAGAGTTACTACGTGGTGCGTACGAATATGCTTGAGGTCTTGTATAATTCGTTTGGCCTGATTAAACTAATTTCTCGTAGTACCAAGGACTATGTGGCAGCTGCATTCGTCGATATCTTTGCTGCCAGACCTATCTCTACCATACAGAACCGGACCATCACATTGTCCGAGCTCACACCGACCGGCTTAGAGATTGCCGCGGTTATGAAGAAAAAGCACGGCAGTGACCCCACTACTGAAACACGAAGCTTGGAGGATGTTAACCGAACGATCGAGGGTTATATTAGCAACGGGAGCAATCTTGCTGTTCCTTCCTATTGCCGCAAGATCTGGGGAACAGGAGAAATGATAAAGATGCTTCCTGATAAGTTATGGGAAGTCGAAGGCTATAAGAAAGCAACTTTAGAGGATATTATCCTAGAAGGAAAATGTGGAAACTACAGAGATCTGCCGGAAACTGTGGTGGAGTACCTTCGAAAGTTGTAGATACTGGGGGAACTTAGCTAAGAATCTGTTTATATCTGCTTTCTATATTACAGTAGCCTTAGCAATACTATAGTAGTAAAGAAGGTTTGTCGGGTTTGAATATAGACTCTACTAAGTTTATATAGAATATTTATTCTATAAGGCTGTAATTAGCTTATATACTTTTTTTATAAAGATATAATAAGTATAATTAAAAGATATATTTATAAGCTACTCAGATCTACTAAAACCTATATAAAGTACTCTTTTCCTCTAGTATAATTTTATATATCTATAGTAATTACTTATCTTGATAGAAGATAGAGAGATCGGGCCTGTATAACTAACTGTTACAGCTGCTAACTGCTAGGCCCGGCTTATAGTAATTGCTTGTTTTAATAGAAGATAGAGAGATCAGGTCTGTAGTAATTACTTATTATAGTAGCAGACAGCCTATTACCCCTAATAACAGTAGCAATTTATTAAGTTATAGAAAATATAGTAATTATAAGAGTAAGTAGCTTTTTATACTTTAAATATTATAAATTTAATAAATTTTTATTATAAGATCTCTGCTATAGAGCTAGTAATAATAGAGATATAGATAATATTAGTTTATTAATAAATATTTAAAAAAATATTTTATTTAGTAAAATAAAGATATATATATACTAAGGAACTACTAATATCTAGTAATAATTTATTATTCTAAATTATTAGAATTATTATAAAATTCTAATAATCTATTAATAATTAGTTAGAAGAAATAGAGTATATTATATAACTTAAGATATAATAATATAATTTATAATATTATATTTATTATTAAAATATTAAATAATATCTATAGTATTTCTTCTAAAGAATACTAATTTAATATTTTAATCTAGATTTTAATTTTATATTTTCTTTTAATAATATATATATAATTTATTATATTTAGTTTTATTTTTATTTTTAATAAATAAATATTATATTTATTTTTTAAAAGTATATTTAATAATTTTATTAATATAGTAAAATATATATTTATATTTAGTAAGAGATTTAGTATTTATAGTATTTTCTTTTTTTATATATTTTATTTAAGCTTTTTAAAGATTTTTATAATATATAATTAGTTTTCTTTTAATATTATTTAGTTCTAATATTTATTTAGTTTTAATATTTTTTAAAAAGAAAATAAAAATTCTTTAGAAAATATAAAAACTATAATAATTATAAAATTCTCTTTTTAAATAATTCTTTTAATTATTCTAAGAGTTTTAATTTTAATTTTTCTAATTATTTTTTATTTTTTTTATTTTTTTAATAGATTTTTTATTTTTTTATTTTTTAAGCTTAAGATATTATAATAAAATATATTTAATTTTATTATAATTATAATATTTATATTTTTCTATAATTTCTAACTTTATAAAACCTATATATATTTTAGATTTTATAAATAATATTAAAATTTATTATATTTTCTAATTAGATTTATTATTTTTAATATAATTCTAATTAGTTTATTTTTTTTTATTATTATTTTTTATATAGATAATTATTAATTTATATAGTATTTACTATATATTTAAATAGATTTTTAGATTTATTTATTTTAAAAAATTAATTTTTAATTTCTTTTTTAAATTTATTATAAAATATAATTTAGAAAAGCTATTATTTTAATCTAATTATATTAAGATTTCTCTAAATTTAATAATATAATTAAATATTAATTTTATTTAATATAAGCTTTTAAGATTTTTAATAGTTTATTATTTTTTATCTATTTAACTAAATATTAAAATAAAAATAATTTAAAAGTTTTTATAATTAATAAAAATATTAATAATTTTCTAATTTTATAAACTTAATTTAATTTTATTATTATATTAATTTCTAAAATAAATTTAAAACTATTATTTTATAATACTATTAAAATATATTTTTATAAATCTATTTTTTTTTATTTTAAGCTTTATTAAAAAGAACTCTAAATATATTTAAAATTAAATTTTAAATTTTTTTTAATTTATTAATATTTTTTAAAATAAATTCTAAGAAAATTAATTAAAAAAAAATTTAATATTTTTTTTTAAATTATTTAATTTAAATTATAAATTACTATATAATCTTTTAAACTATTAGAACTTTTAGAATATTATTAATAAATTTAGTAAAAATTATTTTTATTTTTTATCTTTTAATATTATATAGTAATTAAAATAAAATAATTAGCTAAATAATAATTATTAATATATAATAATTAAATAACTTATACTAGATAGAATTTAAATTAAATTAAACTTAAACTAATTAGAGAATTATTCTAAATAATATAATTAAATTATTATAAATTATATAATATAAATTATTTATTAATATACTAAATATCCCTAATAAGCAGTTACTAACTATAGACTAGTTATAGAGTAATCTGCTTAGTTATAATTACTTTAGAACTAACTTTATAACTAGCTTAGTTCTATAGCTAGAATAATAATTTAATTAATTATTTTTATAATTTATTTTATCTATAAATATATACTTTAGAAAAGCTTTCTAATACTAATTAGTAGTTATATAGTAGCTATAAAAATAAAGAAGAAAAAATAGAATTTTCTAAATATCTAAAGAAATATAGTTTTTTTTATAAATATTAATTCTATATTATAGAACTATATATAATATATAATATAATAATATTATTATTTTTTATATATTTTAAATAATTATTTTAAAAATTATTTATTTCTTTAATAATACTATTAATATTAAAAATATCTTTAAAGAATATTTTATTATATATATCTCTCTATTAATATAGATAAAATAATTAATAAAATTACTTTTTTTTTTAATTATTTAATCTTAAGAGTTTATTTTTATAAATTTTTTTTTTTAATTCTAAAGAAAGATAAGAAATCCCTTATATCTTTATTTTATTATTATTCTAATTTCTTTATATTCTATTAAAATTCTTTTAAATAGAAACTTTTATTCTTTTAATAAAAGTAAAACTCTATATATCTCTACTATTAAATCTACTATATACTTTAAAATCTATATTCTAAGTAAATATAATAATATTATTAATATAAATACTATTTATATTATTTCTTTTTAAATATAATTTTTTTTAAAGGTTTTTACTATATATAAGAAATATTCTAAGATCAGGCTATATATAACTAGCTCTATATAATTTATTTTTAACTAAGTTTTAATTTATATCTAATCTTTAATTCTATTTTTTTTACTTTTTTATTTATATAAGCTAAAATAAAATAATAATATTTCTAAAAACTCTAAAAAAAGCTTATTAAGTATATAACTTAGCTATAGGCCCTAAGAGAGAATATTTATTATTTATAATTAATTATAATATCTCTCTAAGCTTATTATTACTAATTACTAATAATTAAACCTTTTCTTATAATAATAATAAATATCTCTAATATTATTATTCCCTATAGCTAGAGCTTAGTTATTATAAATAACTAGGTTTTTATATATATAATAATTATTATTAATAATAACTATTAGAATCTCTTTTTAAATATTAATTATTTAAACTTATAATCTATTATAGATTTATTTATAATAATAAAGCTACTCTCTTTTATATAGATCTAGTAATTATACTTACTAGAGCTATTACTATATCTAGTAGTTAGTTAATAAGAAGATATATAGATTCTAATCTTCTATATATTTATAGAGAACTATATAAATATTCCTCTAGTACTTAATAATTATTATAATCTAATATACTATATATAATACTAGTAGATAATATACTAGCTTAAGTTAATCTAAATTAAAATAGTTCTTTAAATTAAATAAAAAGTCTATTTTAATTAGTATTAAATAAATAGAAAAGAATAAAATTAAATTAAATTATTAAAAAATTTATTAGAGTAAAAAGTTAAATTAAATAAGATTAATAAAATAGTATCTGAAATATAATAGATTAATTAATCTAATACTATTATAGATTATTTAAAGAAGATTATAATAGCTAATTATAAAGTTATTATATACTAATAAAGATTAAATATAGTTTATATAGTATTTTAAATATAATAAAATAAAAAAGATTTTTAATATAATTAAACTAATAAAGATTTATATAAATAATATTAATTAAATAAACTATTTAATCTTAATAATTTAAACTATTATTATTAGATTTGTTAATATATATATAGTATATTATATATACTACTATAAATATATTAATCTATATAATAATAATCTATTAAGTAAGTTTATATATAACTTTAGAAACTAATTATTAGAAATATTTATATTTTTAAATATTAATATTACTAAAGAGTTAAAATATATATTATAATATAGTAATATTTTACTAAATCTCTAAATAATATATTTAAAATATTTTTAATAATATATAAAAACTAATATTATATAGTATAACTAAGTATATATAAATAGATATTAGATTAATATTAAATCTATATTATTTCTAATAAAAATTTCCTATAGTAGTAAATATATATTATACTTATAAAAATAAATTAATATATAATTTTAAAAGTAACTAACTTTTTTATTTTTAAATATATATAATTCTAAATTAAATTAAAATAAACTTTAATATATTCTAATTTAAACTATACTATTCTAAAATAGAAAAAGCTTAATTTTAATTAACTTTTAAAAGCTATTTTTATTCTAATTAGTTTAAAATAGTATAGAATATACTAGAACTATAAAGAAAACCTCAGATTATAATATATATAAATAAGTAGATAGCTATAATTAAAATATAGCTTTTAATCTAATTATATTTTATCTACTTTAAGTACTAATAATATATAATAGCTATAGACTATATAATATAAGAATAGATTTAGTAAGTATAGCTACTAGATCTAGGGTATTATTAATAGTTTTATTACTATAAATAAGCTTTTAATTATTTAGAGAAATATATATTAGATATACTTAATTAAGAGCTATATATTATTATCTCTTATAATCTCTATTATCTTATTAAGATTTATATT